CTCTACCTACCCCCCTGTAGTCTGTGAACACCGGCACCTCTCAAGTACCGCATCAGTTCAGACTGATGTCGACGGAACAGGACACCGGGGCACTGCCACGGCGCAGTGCCAGGATCGTAGTTCATGCCCGCCCTGCGGTACCTCCAAGACCCAAGAGATTCAGCAGACGGACGACTCCAGCGGCATCAAGTACGACATTGATAGTACAAGACACCACCGGAGATTTTCCAGCATGCCCGGTCCGAGAGGCCAGCGAGTCTTGGGCTGACTATCATGGGCGGCTACAGGCATTTACAGACGCCGTAGCCGCCGCCGAGGCTCAGCAGGCTGCGGCAGAGGCAAAACGGCAGTGGCTGGCCAACGAAGCGACAGCCGAAGCTCAGCGGACAACTGAGACTGACGAAGTGGCACGAAACAGACGGAATGCCGCCAGCACGGAGTCCCTGATTGCTAGTGAGCATCAGTGGACAACGTTACTCCAAGACATGATCTTTGTGCCTACGGAAACGCAGGCGGAACCGACACAGGCGGAGGCAGAGAAAAGTAACCTGGCTACCGTGATGTTGAACGTAATGAGGGGAGTAATGTGGAACAATAAACTACTGCAGGCACACCTGCACGCTGATCGTCAACAAAGACAGCAGTACGAGCAAGACCATGCCGCTGTAACGGCCGACGTCCGCAACGCAGCAGTGCAGCAGCAGCAACAGCAACAGCTGATGAACTCTACCATCGCACGCATCAACGGCATTGAGGCCAAGGCCTCAGCAGCGCCAGGCTGCACGACGGACGCGACGAAGCAAATCAATGAACGCATCGATCACGTCGTCACCATCATCGACGACATAGGTGTTTTCAACGGACCGGACAAGATCAACAGCATGGTGGCCGCCGCTTTGACATGGTGGCAACGTTTCCTCACGGAAGCGTCATGCCGCACTGTCCCGGCGAACGACATGTTGAAGGCACTCTATTTGCAACTGATTGGAGGAGCGCAGGCATGGATGAACCACCTGGCGGCCACCCACAAGTGCACCATCGCCGAACTCCACACGCACATCACGTGGAAGGAGTTCGAGCAGCTATGGTTCACCCGGTTCATGGTCCGCAACGTCGTGAAGGCGGCCATGAATGAGGTGTACACATGCTCTCAGGGGAACATGCCAACTCAAGACTGGACAACGAAGTGGCAAAAGATAGTAACCACGCCAGGATTCGATTTGAGTTTCTCAAATTAACGATCCGAGTTCTTCTCGCGATCGTGCGCGGGATTGCGGTCGGAACTCGGTAATGAGTACGACTATACCACATTCCAGGCCATTCTGGATCGAGCGAATTTGGTCATCCAAACGGACGACAAGGCCGCTAACGAGAGACAATCCCATCCGCATTATGTGGCTAAGCAGGCCTATCAACGTTCGACATATAACAATGCCGTAATTTCCGAGAAAACGGACGACCACCACTCTGCAGCAACATCCTCGGGTGATGGAGGAATTGTCGCAGCGCTCCCGCCGAAGCGTCCCAAGAGAGTTCGTAAGAACAAGGCGACACAAGAGACGGCAACGACGGGAGCTGGGCAGCAGCCATGGACGACATATAAGATCACCAAGGAGGTCTATGACCTACGTCAGAAGTACGGATACTGCCTTTGGTGCAACGGAGTCACTCATGTGACCGCACAATGCCCCGAAAAGGGCAAGGCACGCGTACCCTGTCGAGCAAACTCGGGAAACTGAGTAACGCAAGGAGAGGGGCGACGTCTCTCCTCACTCCGCCGGACCCGGTTGCCTTGCTAGCAATCGATGTCACTACCGGGGAGCATGCGTTAGTCGCTGATTCTCGTRCTACGTACGAGGATTATGCCGCCCAGCTGGTATCACCATTAGACCAGCCTAGCCACGTGCATGTAGATTGCGTATGCGCAGCCTGTACACCGTCGGCAAGTGACCCGGCCAGTTCGCCACTGATTTCCGAGGACTCGAYGGCGTGGTCAAGACTTGAGGAGCTTGACCCGCTCACGAGAGAGGATTTCGCTTGGATACCTCTACCCTCAACTGGAACATTGCCAAGGCCGCATTGCAGCGCCTTGATGGCAAATCTACGCTCCTACTTGCACACTACAGTACCAGCTCCGTTGACGGACGACGGGGTAGCGGTTGCCGATCTCCGCTCCTATCTTGCGAAGATCGACCGCGAGCACGCCACCCAAAGGTACGCCGAAACCAACACACTTTTGCTCTATATCCGCATTCAAATCGGAAAGGCAACCTGTAGTGCCTTGATTGATTGCGGAGCGTCTCGCAACTTCATGAGTCAAGCCTTTATGGCCCGCGCAGGTCTTGGCCCGCGCGTTCGAAGGAAGACGCAACCTACGCAAGTTACACTCGCGGACGGCCGCACGCAAAAGTCAATTGACCGATGCGTTGACGGCATTCCGGTCTACTTTGCGCCACTTGCGTACGAGCCGGTGTCTTTTGACATCCTCGACACCAAGTTCGACATGATTCTAGGCATGTCTTGGTTGCGTAGCGCCGATCATCCGGTGAACTTCCATGACCGAACCGTTCACATCCGTGATCGGAACGGAGTGTTAGTCCCATGTACGGTCGCGACCCCTCACACTTCGATTGCTTGTCACGTGGTTTCCGTTGCACGGATTCGCGACGCCATTGCTC